CAAGTGCTTTAAAGAGAGGACTCATTGCTCACATTTTCTCTGGGTAGAGAAGCTACAGCTTTTAATGTGGTCAAATCCCAAACTCTACAGAGAATGCGTCCCAGAGACACAAGAAATTTCCCATTTGGGCTGCAAGACAATTAGACCAGAATATTAATTAAAAGGGAGAGAAAAAATGTTAAAGAAAAAATATGTAAATTCTGGGTTGGGATATAAATTCCGTATGATCCTGGAACCACTGGGACACAGACCTGAAAGTCAAGTCCTTAACAGATGTATGCGCCTGGGCCTCATTGAGAATAATTTCCATCGTAGGCCACATGAAGACCCTTAGGTTACCATCCTGCACTGCATCAAAACCAGCATATTCATATGGCCTGATGATAAACAATGGAATGGGCAGTTTGAACCTACATTTCTATCTGATAGCTAATGCCGGAGAAGGCAAACATCATCCATTTTAGCAATTGAAAATGTGGAAGTGCAGATGCAGGATGTTAGGTACACAAATAGAAAAATGATAACTCTTGATAAGGTGTATATAAGAAGGAAGAAGAAAGTATGTAACTAGCATTTAAGAAGGAAGAATATGTAATTAGTAGATAGTTATATGTGTTGTATTATATGTTTTGTTCATGCTGTTACTAGATAGTTATATGCGTTGCATAATTTATTATTGAATAGTTGTGTTCTATACATACACAGTTTGAGTAAATGAAAAAGAAATCCTGAAATAAATTACATAAGAGTATTTTACTATTATATTCTTATGGTTGTGCAGCCATTTATTGCTCTTTTGTCCAGCTGTTCAACATATTTGGTCTATGATCTATGGTCTTTTAGAGGTGAGTTGGGTCATGGCTGGTTCGATTAGGGAGGAGATTTGGGTGTGGGAGGGGATAGGCAAAAATGAAAAATTTATTAGTTTAATTCATTTAATTATCTTTTGACTTATTTGGAAATAGAGGAATATGAGGGCTTTTGATGGTATTGATAATGATATGGTAGAGACTAGGGGTAGATGGTTTCATTTGTTTGGGTATTTATTGATTGGGCATGATTTGTATAGAGTAGAAGATTTTTGGTATATGATAGATTGCCATATTAACATGTAATTATTTTTATACATGGGTTGCACCCCCTTGGTGCGTTGTTAATAGATTTATACATTTTATTTAAAAAAAAATATAAGCATCCCTTTAGTGCCTATATTAGTAAATTCAGACTTTATATTTCAAAAAATATATATATTTGTAGTTGTTTTGAGTTGAAAAGTATCCCACAGAATTCTTGAGTCGAGTCTTCTGCACTTAAGTTGATGTATGTGAACAATACACCCAAATATTATAGGGATAAGATGATTTGTGAATCTGACTTCTGGTACAATATGGAAAGGACTTCCATAGACAATTCAAATAATGAGATAATTTAGCCACTGATACAAGATTAGTGCAAATTTAGGACATAAAATATATTCCAAAGAGTAAAGTTAGGACTAATCTTGATATTACCAACTCCTGCTATAGTGGTTAACAAATTATTTGCAGTGACTATCTTTTTGCTACAGGGACAAGGAACATATGTATTAAAATAGTGGGAAGAATTTGTCATATGATTAGTGGCTCTTAAGTTTATAATGTATGAATATACAAAGGGTTTATCTGAGGCATTTAAACCAAATAAATAGGGACTTACCAGAATGTGCTAATAGACCAGTACTTGTGAGATTTCTAGAGATTCGATTTTCTCAACTTTTCAATTTTCTCTTTAAATTCTTTGTACCCTGGAGTCTTTTCTTCCACTTGTTGATTTTTCAAGTGAGCGTGTCCCTTGTGCTGGCAAAACCAAACCAAGCGAAAAGACCAGTTCAAACGAAGCCGGTTAGGGAGACTAGTTCTGTTGATCCAGTTTTTTACTCTAATTGGTTAAGGAACTAAATAACTGATTCTCTAATCGGTTAGGTCCCGGTTCCCAAACATGGGAACTGGAAGTGACCATATAACTGAATGATTTTTATTTTATTTTTTGAGATCAAAAGTGTAAATTATGTACTAGTAACAGTACCAAAGGGCTACCCCCCATATACAAAAGAATTAACAAATCAGTTAGGAGATCAATGACATTCCCAAAATCATTAAACCTATAAATGTCATGACCCAAAACAAAAAAAAAGTATTTAACCATCTATCTCTAATATTAATATCCTCCCCCTCCCTCCCCTCGAGGACTCTAGAATTTCTCTTCTTCTAGACACCGACGAGATAAATAACAGAATAAGCTTGAGATAATTTTTTTTTATTACAAATTCCTGCCACGCCCACAGCTCATCCTTCACCGACCCCGCCATTGCCAATATTAACCTAGGAGTCCATACACCATACGCTATAAGTTAATATGCATCCATCTTGCATAAAAATAACGATTAATCAGGATTTTTCCCCTCGCATTAAATTGTCGATAGTTAATATGCATTCTCTAATCGCTTCCCATGAGAAAAAAGAATTTCTTGGAGTGGCCTTAACCTTCCATATCTGATTAGCTGGAAAGTAAAATGTCTCCAACTGGTCCTGTCTAGTAAAAACATGTAATAGAATTTAACAGTGCACTCCCCTTTTTTTCCCTAACTTCCAAACCAATTGATCACTGACACCATTTATCTGAATCTTAGACAACAAGAGCAAAAGGGCTTCATACTTGTCAATTTCCAATCATTGAGATTCCTATTAACATTAACGAACCATCCCCTATCCCATCTCTCTAGAAACGGCTTCCACAACCCTCATATTCTTGGAAGAGGCAATGACATAAATTCTCGAAAATAGATCCTCAAATTTGCCCCTTCCAACCCAATCGTCCTTCCAAATCCGGATTCTATCACCCTTCCCCAGCTTCCACTTGACTCATTATTGGAATTTCTATTTCCCCATGCTGATTTTTCTCCATAAACTAAAACTGTACAGGCTATTCACATCCCAAGTGTCCCCATCCAGGTCTGCCGAGTCCCAACGAGCATCCACAATACGCTTCCACAGCCTTCCCTCCTCCCTTGAAAACCTCCAAAACCATTTGCCATGAAGTGCAGTATCCATTTCAATAATAGATCTTAAGCCCAAACCCTCCTCAGCCAAAGGTCTCTTTAGTTCATCTCACTTAACAAGGTGATATCTCCTACTTCCTTCTTCATCCCCTCAAAGGAATTGACATTGAATGTTTTCAAGCTTCTTAGCAATCTTTATGGCAGTCAATGCCAATAATTAATAGATAGGAAGATTAGTCAATGTACTCTTAATAAGAGTTAATCTCCCTCATTTGGAAAGGCAATTCCTCTTCCACCTGCAAGCCTTCTTTCACACAAATCAACCACTAGATCCCACATCTTCAATTCTTTATATTTTGACCCCTACGGAATGCCAAGATATTTAATTGGAAGCTTCACTGCCTTACAAAATGATTTCTATTTTTATAAACATTATAATAACATTATATTCATACATAACGATATAATTATATGTTTAAATATAAAAACAAAAAATCAAAAACAAACCATAACTCACTTATGCCATAGCCCCTAAAGCCCCGAGCTCCCCTCAAATAAGGAAGCTGACCAACACGGCATGACAGCAACACCAACCTGCCTCCACTTGTAGCCTGCTCTCTGCGGCTTCGGCTCCGCCTCCACCTACTCACAGGCAGAGCTGCACACAGTGTAGCCCGCAACCTCATCTTCACTGCCTTCCATTCATGGTCATGAACCCATGTTCTTGCCCCTTTCTGCGGTAGCTGATAGCTAAACACGAGACAGGCAGACATTGATGGCTTGACATTGCGATACACGCACACCATGAATACAAAAAAGTGGTGCGACTTCCACCTCTTAGCCTCTATGCGAGTCTCGGCTACAACTTCTCTGTTCCCACTAGCGTGAATTCATCCCTTTAGAATTGGTGCGGTAACGAAACAAAGAGACAAATACACCCTGAAAAAATTAGTAGCAGGGGCTAGTCCATCCAGCTATGTGCATAGCTAGCAATAAAGGCTGGCTGTTGCAATGGAGTGGCTGGCTACTAACGCTGGCTGGGGAGGCAAGATCTGGTTGAAGCTGGTTTGAGTGGGACCCATGGCAGAAGCAAGGCTGTGTGCAGCCAAAATATATGCGCAGGATTATGCGCGGGTGAAGCACGTGAGCAGAGGCTGTGCATGGCTAAGGCAGGTGCCAGCAAGGGCCTGCACGGGCTGTCTAGGGGCATTCAGGTGCAGCTGGACAGCAGCTGGGTGCAGCTGCGCTGTGGCTAGATGCAAAACATAGCACAGAGTAACAGTTAAAGGCAGAAATAGAGCAAATAGAGGGGCTCTTTGCAGAAATAGAGCATCAAAATAAGTTAGAAAAAAAGGTGGCTGCTTTGTAATGTAGAAACAGAGCACGTAGCTGAAACAAGGGCTAAAACAGAGTTTCTCCTGCTAAAATAGGGTGTGCTAGAACAAGCTGTTTTCCAGCACAGCAGGGGCATTTTCCGGCTACAGGGGCGAGTTGGTGATGATGATGGATTTAGAGTTTTTCCTTTTTCTTTTTGTTCTGGCAATAAAAGCCAGTTTAGCGTTTGTGAAAAAAATTAGAATCTTTTCCCATGTGGAAGAATAGAATGTTCCAATTTCCTATTAAATAGTTATGGCCTATACGTACACAACTTTGATTATAGAAGAAGAAAACCCTAAAATTAATTACATATTTTACTATTATACCCTTACACCTTAAATTACACATGTACTCTTTCCAATGGCAGGTTTATTGTTGTATTTTTATACAGTATTGCGAGTGTTAGAAGGAGAAAAGTAGGGAGAAACAGATGGGTAGTCAATATTATTTTGGGAAATAAGTCCTAAATTAACTACTTCTCTTTATTTTATGTGTTGTATTGGTGAGCTTAGGGTATGCAGTAGAACAGAAAGGGGTAAGGCTAGGATAAGGGGGTAGTTATAAGTAGTTAGAAGAATAACTTTCAGCACAACTTTTTCAATTTGTATTAAAAAGAGCAAACTGTCTTTGTTGACAGATTACGAATGAAGAAGCATATTCAAGTGTTCGATACTTTCTCTCCTAACAAATCCTTAAATAAGATTAAAAATATGGAAAAAACAGAAAAACTCAAAAACATCATAGAGATCCTAATGATTTCTATGTTTTAAGCCTCATAACTAGCCGGGGTCATAGCACAGGTCATAAAATTTTCTGCAAAGGACATGGAGCATATATTTATTCATGGGTGCACCAATGGCTGTATACGTGAACTCTTAACGCAATATAAACAGGAGGGTGGGCTAGGGAGAGACATTAATGTCACGAAAAGAAACTTAACAAAGCCCAGAATCCTGAGTTCAACTACTAAAAAAAACCTACTTAATTTTCTTTTCCATGTAAATTATTTCAAGAATTAACCTCCTATTTCATTTTATTGAGAACAGCATTAACTTCCTATAATTTACAGGCACCACATTTTCCTCACCAACTTAACCATGCTTTTGGCCTTTCGTTGGGCTCCACACCACATATTCTTTCTTTTGCATGACACCTTAATACAGATTTTTCTTCATTCCAATGCTTTTGTTTGTGCATGAATCCAATTTAAGCCTATGAAATTTATCTTGTTCTTGCACAGACCAACCATGAAATAAAAGCATAGGATCATTCGTTAATTAATTTCAAATGTTGCAAAACCAACCAGTTCAAATTTTTACCAGTATGCTTTTGTAATTCATAATAAAATGCAGATAATGGCCATTTTTACTCATAAATCAAGTATAAAATCTTAAGAGAAACTATCATCTGTTACCAAACTGCTCCTTTTGTCATTAAAACAAAAAACAAAATTCAAATAATAGAAAAAGAGACAAATTATCTTTACCTCACCACCAACAGCAAGTATGGAACCTTCACTGTCAAATGCCAACGCCAATTGTTGCCCAAAACCTTCTAGTTGGCTGAGTACTTTCTCTGACACTTTAACACTAAGCTTATGGACTTCGGAGCTCTCTACCTCTTCCCACTCAAACAGTCTGCACAGGCAAAGAACCGTAATTAACTAGATAATCATCACCACTGAAAATAATAACATTAACTGCAGCAAGCAAAGCTACTGGAAAACATGGTTAATATCTCATACTCAAACTTGTTGACATGATTCCACAAAGGTAACTATGGAATACATAAATCAATTTGTTCCTAAGCTTTAGTAGGCATGGCAGTTTTCAGATTTTGGTATGGTTCTCATCAATATGTTTCTAGGGTTAACTGGTAAAAAAGAGAACACCAGTTTTCTATCATCATATCATGATCATATACCTAGCTCACAGCCTCAGCTCCCTAAAGTCTTTAAGAAACCTTGATAGTTGGGTTCCGTATCTGATAAAACATAATTTGAAATGCTCCCATAAAATCTCACATTTTGATATTACATGTTGAATTAATCAGGTTATCTCACCTCAATGGAATGACCCCCATGAGAATTCTCACATTTACATAAAATGAACCAATAAGTTTCTAAAAAATACCTGCAGCTATCCGGCAATGCACATATAAGGCCATCTCCGCCAGGGTGGACAGCCATTCGATAAGGTAACTGGGATCCAATTTCAAGCTTGGCCACCTAAAATGGAGACATTATAGAACAAATAGCACTTACATCCCATGAGCTGTGAAAATCAACTATATGCATTGCGAAGTCTACACTAATAATGCTTGCAGATTCACACTGAAAATCATTTCAGCTCTGTATCTCTATGCTCCAATGCAAGATTTAAAACCGCACGACTGAAAATAATTCAGGAAATTCTGAGAAATGAAACCAGCCTATTTCACAAAGGACTCAAGGATTCACGAGAATATGAAAACAGAAAAGACAAAAATGTTTGAACAAGTAACAATCTTGCAACAGAGCAAGCACAGTAAAACTATGTATACTATACGCAAAAATATCATTAACTTCGCAAAGAGAGGTATTCTTATATGTAAACGAAAATAGTATTAACAAATGATTCTACAAACTGAAATGAATCAACATCGATTCTCACTGGAATTCGCAGACGAAATGCAAAAAAAAAATATAATATTAACTCTGACAAAATTCAAATCTAAAAGATAAATCCCTACACTAAACCACAAATATGTGAACGTATCCCTCGACATTCACACTCACAGGTTGATCGGAGAGAGAAATGGAGGCGAAATCGGCGTGGGAGACGATGATGGCGTTGGGGATACCGCTGCGACCCTCGCCTCCACCACCAGCGAGAACGACGTAGCTATGAGACGCAGTGACCTCCGATGCCGACGAGGATTCATCGTCGTCGGCTTTGTCTGGATCTTCTCGGGATGCGAGCTTGGATCTGACGTTGTTGTATGGAACCCAGGCGGCTCCGTAGAAGGGAACCCCGTATTTCTGCATATTATGGAGGAACAAAAGGTCGCTTTCTTTCTTTGCTGATTTCGCGTTTCTGTCTATGTATGGTTATTGTTCTCTGACTATTAGCTGCCCCTTCGAAGTGACGGTGCTGGTAACGCTCTACATTTCTATTCAGCGATACAAGCATCTTATAATTTTAAAAATTAATTATACATACATAAGTTTTAATTAATTAAAAACTAAATTGTATTTTTATGTAAAAATTTTAAATAAATAATTATTATATATGTTATTAAAATTATTTTTTATAATTGAAAATTATATAATTTATAATTTTAATGAATTAGAAATTAAATTTTATCTTCATATTTAAAAAATAATTATTATGTATATTATCATATTAATTTTATGTTTATATTTTAAAATTATTACATTAATTTTATTGTTATATTTATAATTTGATAGATAATATTTAGAATTTTTTCTATATAATTATGATTATTGAATTAGTTTCAGAAAAATAAAAAGAGTCATGTGGCATCTTCTGATATTACTTTTATATATATATACACACACACACACACATATGCATCATTAAATTATAAATATTTTTATTATAATTTAATATAAAATTATTTTTCAACGAGAATATATATTTATTAATTATATGATATATAAATATCAATTCTAATATAATAGAAAAAATACATTAAAAAATTAAAAGATACAGTTTAATTTAAATTTTTATAAATAAATAATCGAATTAATTATTTAATTAAATAATTTATAAAATCATTTTAATTTGCTTCTTTTATATAATGGTAAAAAAAATTTTGCGTCTTACTTATATTTTGATTTTATAAAACTTAAAAATTGTAGTAATTAAATATTAATCTTAATAAGTTAAAGCGAATCATAATTTAACATTTGTGGTTGCGGTATTTCAAATTTTATATTTATAACTTATTTTAGTAGTTTTAACTCTTATAACTCAATCATTAATCAATTAATAAAATATAAATATTTTGAATATATTATTAATATAAACTTTAAAAATTCAACATCTAATTGATTTCGATTACTTTCTGATTTTTTTTAAAAAATATTTTCTGAAAATAAAAAAAGAAAGGAGTATGATACTAAATTGTAATTTTTCTTAAACGTAAGAAGAACAGTAAAGGTACC